CGAGGACCACTCACTCCCAGTATTGTGTTCGCCTGTCCGCGAGGCTGGCGTCGGTGTGCTTCTGCACTCCCAGGAGAGTCTTGTAGAACTCCGCGTACAAACAGAATGCACAGACCTCCAGTTCCCGCTCCACCCGCTCCTCCTCTTTCCTCTCGATGCACAAATCAACGATAAGGACGGGCATGACCTGCATCATGCCACGGTGCTCAAATGCCACGTAATTGGCCCCGCTGCGGATGAACGACGTGCCCCGGGAATGCGGAGAACCACGCTGCGAGTGTCGCTCTTCAAACCCTTCTTCCGCCTGTCTAGCCCGTCACGTGGCGTGGGTGTGGGGGGAGAGGGCGGATGGATGGGGTGCATATAGGAGGGATTGGAGAGTGAGAGGGGGGATGGGGGGGGTGCTGGGAACGGCTGCGTGTGCCACGACCCACCAACCTCGCCCGCGAGTAGGCCGAAAGCAACATGGGAAATGGTAGTGGGCAGAGCACACACCTCTTGGACTCCCGGGCCTCCGGTTTTATCTTCGGACCCATGAAGCACACTATTGCGTGTGAACCAACACCGGATTCCAGCGTGTGCAATATGTCCGTGACGCACGCCCTGTACACGTTGCCCCAGTCTGTCTCTGAGAAATTCCACCGCTCTAACTTGCACTGCATATAGGGTGGGGGTTGGGATGTTGGATTGGGCCCGTTTACCCGGGTGGAAGGGAACACGGGGAAAGAGCTGGGTGGGGTGGGCGACGTGCACGGACAGGTTGCATGTGGAACAAGATACCCTATCAGGCATAAGCACATGTCTCACCACAATTGGGTGGGTGGACCATCTGGACTGGATACTCGCAGCCGTGTCCGAGTCCTCGGCCTGGTTGATGGCATCGACCACTTTGCGCTGCATAGCAACCGTGCGGTGCGGCGCACGCATGTCCTCTAATGCCGTCCTGTGCCCTGACATAGCACGCCACACACGGGCGCTTGAAGCCTTGCTGCATGGTTGCTGAGGCGCGGGAGCTCTCTGGAAAGTTGCCAACTTATGCGTATAAACAAGGGTACGCCTTGATGTCCTTCCCATTCTCGTCAGTGACGTAGAACGAGAGTAAGGGGGCGCTGCAATGGTGTCGAGATCCCATGACAAGGGTGAGGGTTTAGGGTGGGGGGGTTTGAGGGGGGGGGTTTTGTGGATGGTTGGGGTGGGTACAGTCGTGGACACGTGCGACAGGATGGTGCACCACACGTGCCATGTAGCAGGAGCCACTAGCTGCGTGGGCAATGTGCAACTGGTGTGCATCTGGCACAGCATGGGTATGAGAGGATGCACTACGGAGGGGACTGGGCTCACTTGCGCGTCTCGTGCATCAAGGGCCCGTGCACAATGCGGACAACCTCATGGGCCTTTTCGGTTGTGCTTGCCCAGTCCGAAGGGAATGGGAGCACCACAGCGAACGCGTGGCCCAGCTCGTTCCATCGAAGCTCCTCCGGTATGGTCATCAGTGACACCAGCATCGGCCATGCCTGCTGACGCCCGTTCCCCGTAGCATGCATGCTATCGCTGTACACGGTGATGCCAAGGACGAGGCTATCGTTCTCTGGAAGGTCTGCCTGACAGTCGCAATGCACGGCATGACACAAGATGGTGGGGGACCACATAAATTCAGATATCCCCGCACATGTGAGGCGGGCATGGTGGGGGAACATGCAGTGACAGAACTCACACCTGGGCACAGTGCATCCATTCGCCGGTGTCCAGTGTGCTGTAGTGTCGCTCGCCCTTGATATCTTCCGCGTCTCTACTAGGCTTTTGCACGAACCTTGGCCGCCCCACTAAGGTCCGCACTAGTTTCTGCAGGAGCTGCAAGGAGTATGGATTAGCCACTCATCGCACTGCACATTAAGCGCTCGTACCATTTGCGCAGTTTGGGATGCGCGGGTGACGTGAGCTAACGCCCATGTGCCTAAACGCTCACCAGCTTCGTGTCTCGGTAGTGAAGCATAAGCGTTGCTTTCAGCCCACGCGGACCCCTGACCTCGATCTCCTCCGTCAGCCAAGGCACGATGTCAGGCGGGGTGCGTTCGGCACCCCATGCTTTAACGCCCACGCTGTTTAGGGTGCGCCGATTGTCTAGCAGGCCCTTGACCTACTCCCCGCGGACGCCACCTGGAAGGTGCGACCATGCGATGGCATGCTTACACGCCTGCTATTCCATAGCTTGTGAACTGATCCATCCTGTATGGCATGGTGTCCCTTTGTTCTCGAATGCCATTTGCGCAGAAGATATGCAATATGGAGTGTGAGTATCTCTTCTTCACGCGCCCAAACGAGACCCTGGAATTATACCCCAGCAGCAATGACAAGTCTGAAGGCCAGTGCAATGTCATTGAAAGCCTCCCCGAAAATTACTCGATGTTGGCGCTCGCGGCCGACAAGGTGCGTCGCGACGATCTGAACAAGTGCTTGTCGGACTGGAAGATCGACGCCGCCAAACGCATCCGCAACATTGCCATTCCCAAGCTCGGCCTTTTCAGGCATGCACGTGACCGTGCCAGCCCATGGGCCTCCCACAAGGAGCGTTCGATCGTGGATGTGAGCACTGTTGGTGCAACCCTATGGCTTGCACTCGGCTTGTCGTCCGTGTTTGTGTGTGTGCATGCATGGCATGGAATGACTTGTGAGTCTATGTCATTGCTATCTAGTGCTTGTGTGTGTGTTTGAATGGTGTCTCACAATGTGGTGTGTGTCGGTCAAGACATTAGTGAGTTTTTACAACTCGCATGTCAAGTCGTCGTTTGCGTGTCGCATGTGTTTTTCTATTTTGTCAAGTGTGAAGTGTCCATCGCGTCGCAGGTGTGTGCAGCAAGCCCCCATCAACTCAAGAAGAATTTATCTTGAAGAACCAAGACCAAGAGCTCAAGATTTCAAGCCTAAGGGACGCGGATAAATATTAAATAGTGAAAATAGTAACGCTACTTCGTGTAGTGTTACATTTCACTTGGTGTAGCCCCTTGGAGGGATTGTTTTGAGACTCTTCGTGGTTGGGGACTCTGTGGTGGTGTACCACCAACCTGGACCTCGGCTCTTGGGGTATGTAGAGGCTGGGAACCATCTCCCTCTCAAATTCTTCTTCCTAAGTTTTTTGTACTCCTAAGACTATAGTGGCTGCTGTACCTCCTGCCAGTCAAACCGCCATAGCGTCGTCAAATCTCGATGGAATTTTATGATTCAACTTGCTGCTGATAGGCGACAACAACGCGCTCGAGATCCAATTTACAGATCACCGTTTGAGGCACACATCAGATCGGCATCAATATTTGAAGCTGGCTGACGGAATTCTGACTGTGCACATTTTCTCTAATTTTAGGCACATCTGAGCCTATTGTGATTATAACAAGCACCAAGTGGGGCCCATCCGGCGAGTGAAACGGTGAGCATCCATGGTAGCGTGCCGTCGTGTGTGTTTTGGCTGCGGGCTTAAGCTTGTCTCGTCCCTGTGTGACAGAGCTGGAGCTGTCAACATGGCACCGCAGCAAGGACGGCATGCCGTTCGCGTCCGCGGCCTTCATGGCCACTCTGAAGGCAGCCTTCCAGCCTAGGTGTCCACGGGCTCCGATCACCATCAAGCTATACCACCTCGCGTGGGTCGAGCACGTCGTGAGATACTCCCGACTTATATCCCAGCCGCAGTCTCCCGTTTCAGGGAAGCCGGAGCCACATCCCTACATGTGGCTGAACATTAACCCCCCTATTCATCGCGTGGCAAGTCGAGGACGCAATCCGGAACTGGGACTTGTGGCAAGCGCGCCTGACAAACTCGACACGTGACAACTGCGCCCTAGTGTTCGACCTTCACGGGCTGGTCTACATGGTCGTGGCGGGCGCGATCGATGCCAAGGACCCTGAGTACGATGCTGTCACATTGGCGTGGACGTGGGGCCGCCATGGCATCGTCCTCTTTTCTTGCGGCCTGGAGAGCAAGCGCCCGGGGGTCGACGATGCCGCGGCTGCTATGCAGGACGAAGACGCGGATTCTGAGAGCGTCGATGATTGAACGGCTCGTTTCCAGATGAAATGGACTAGTGTTTTCGGAAATAACATGTGCGCTACAATAATTTGCTGTCGGTATGTGATCTGGATGCTAAGTGTGGGTGTTTGGTGGTTGATTTCGCACGCGTTGCTTGCGTCGGCTGCACGTCTGGACGCCTCGTACATTTTTGTTGGGCTGCATGGAGGGGTTTGGAATCATGTTTGCGTATGCATTTTGTGCAATCAATTTACAAGATCACGGTCACCCACGAGTGCAATGTCAGGCTGTAAGCGTGTATGTGAATTTGCAAGCATTTGTTAGTTTTGCAGTCCGGTGCACGAGTGTATTCCGCGTTGCGAGCTTCAATTGGGTAATCAAGCGCCACCACGGCTTGTCGCAATTTGTCGTGCTTACGCCGTCGGAGGTTGCGCGGGTACGCTCGATCGGTCGCGGATCATGTACCCCTCTGCTTGCATATGTCCAGGCTGGATTGGTGGAATGTTGCGGATTTAATACCACGCGGCATGCGCGGGCCGGTTGGCGATGTTCAGCCGTGTCGCGTTCCCACTGGAAGGTTGCGTCGATGTACAAAGTTATGCTCAGCGAATGGGCATCTCCTGTACGTATGCTGCGTCATTGGTCCATTTTGCTGCATCACTTGGCTGACGAGACCCTATGGCACATTTTTTCATCACAATTGTCGTCACTTGTACCAGGCAAAGTTCACGCATGGGAACTGTACAACCGGCACGCCTTGTACGCATGCACTACTGGTGGGTCATTCAGATGTACATTTGTGTATGGACACGCCACATGGCATGCGTCCCGTTTGGTACCAAGGTCTCGTCTAGGTCAGCTAAGACGCATCATTGTAGCTCACGTCCTGTCACGTTTAGACTCCCGCATTGCACCGGTCCACGTGACGGTTATGCTCTTGCATGTATACGTGGGGTCGCTGCGAGGTTGCATTTGTCCGCCTGGATTTTGCCGTGAAGTTGCCCCTGCTGTCACTTTTCCGCAACGGTGTTGGTACCTTGGTCAAGGTCACTTTAGACCTCAACCTTTCAGTAACCGTGACCAGGTCACCTTAATATCACCGGAAAGTTGCGGCTAAGTCACTTCTTGCACTTGCAATTTTCGTGATATTCTGCCCGCTCTCCGACCGTCGGATCCACATCAACATGGGCATCAACGGCTACCGCCCCATCGTGAATCTCCGAGGAACTGCCACTTCATTGGACGAAGACTCTCTCGCAGCGGTGTTGGAGGCGGCGACCAATGAGAAGAAGCCAAGTCACATTCGAGAGCTGGAGTAGGATAAGCTCAGCGCTGACGAAGTTGCTGAGCTGGAGAGAATGTGGGCGAATGGGAGCCTTCCATTGACTGGTGAGGTGGCAGCTGCGCTTGAGTGGGAGATAAGGAGAGGGGAGGAGGAGCAGCAGCACTCGATTCAGTATGCCGAGCATGAGCTCAAGGCGAAACTGCTCGAAGGAAAGGCGATTCGCAGTTGGATCAGGCAAGCGCTTGGATCTCCTATTATCAACGTTTTTTTGTTGCCTTTTCTTCTATAATGTAATGATGGGAGTTGTTGTGAATCCATCTTTACATGCCTCCCTCCTTGCATTCTCGTCTTCCCCGCCCCTGTTTCTATCCGTCTGCCAGGGAACTCCATGTGATGTGGCGCGATGAGATTGACCAGCACCACTCGGCATACATCAAGGCGCAAGACAGCAAGGAGCAGGGGCGGGTCAGCGGCGGGCTCATCGATCGGATGGAGACCGACGGCCAGCGGGTGACCCCTCCTTTCGAGCCCCGGTCTTTCGTCTCTGGAAGTGGTGGTTTCACGCTGTTGCTTGCGGAAACGGGGAGGAGCTGCAAGGGAAGGAGGAGGACGAGTTCCGCCTGACAGTCGAGGGAGTGTTGAACATGGGGGTCACGGCGCGAGTGGTGCATCCGCTCATGCAGACTGCGGATGAGGCACAGGCGCACTTCAACGTGGTTATAGAATGTAAGGAATGCTCTCTTTATAAAAGCTCGGCTTTCATCCTACAAGGGGATGCTCTCTACTTGGTGGTGTGCAGCCATTTTCATCATCTTAGAGACTGTCCTCCATTGCCTCGGAATGACGACAAGGACTCCCTTGAGGTCAAGACACCAAATACAGCAACCCATGCACTATGGACAGGGACTACGAATATGATGCATGCAAGAAAGAATGGAACCTACCCATTTCCCAACTCAAATGTGCTCTGTCCCTTCCTGACGCAAGCATCGCAACCAGATGAGAAGACTTTGACAGAATCCCGGACGATCACTTCTTGCACCGAGAGAATCACCCCTTCCTTCTCACCCCAAGGACCACGCTCCTCGCACGAAGTGACATCAAGAACCATAATCGGTGGTACCTCAGTAGCTGATGTAGCCAACGCATGGTTTGCTCACGACGGTACATCTCTAATGTCGTCGCAACTCCCAAGCCGACCTTCGTCACTATCCAAGGTAACAACCAGCGGCTGTGTGTCAACCCACGAGGAATCGTCGCCCTGCAGTCCCAGAACACGAGAACGCATATCACCTTGTATGATGTGCTCATCGTCCAGGACTTGCCGTGCAATCTGCTCTCAACCTCACGACTCGTCTCCTGCGGCATCGAATTGTGCACCGACCTTGTCGCAGGGGATATCAAACTACACTACTGACGATCTAAAGAGCCAAGAGAACTTACTGACAACACCTTGGAAGGCATTGCGGAGCAAGCAGTCTCAAACTTCTCTATCTCAACCGCAACAGCATGACTGATGCTGGCCTGCTGCACTTGGCTTGCCTTCTGTCGCTCAAGACATTGGTACTCTACTGGCATGGAACATGTTGGGAGGCTGATAGGCCTTGAGGATCTGTAGTTTCTTGGGAGTCGGGTAAAGGATGATGGAGGCAACTTACATCATTGAACAAGCTAAAAAAGTTCGTACTTTCGGAGATGATAACTGATATGGAACTAGGGCACAGAGGAATCTTTGCAGCTTGAAGCATATGAGATTGTACAGTTAGAGTGTGTAGAGATTGGTCACGACATTCCTTCATGGTGTGCTGTCATGTTACGTGACATTTTCATCTCGTCCGCCCTCCACTCGTCCCCCCCGCCCACAGCACACGGAGGGGATCCATGGCGTGTTGGGTCAAACATTCCATGGCGAAGCGTCGCGCAAGGTGCGGTCGCCGCCTGCTGACGCGGCTTCTGCGCGAGGTGGTGGACGTGGAGAGCAAGGGCGGCAGGGAACCATGTCACCTCGAGTTCATGTTCGAGTGTCTAAACCACCACGACGCGAGCTGTGGGTGGCGTCATCAATCAGCCTTGAACATGCATGTAGAAGCTTATGTATATATTCGAGCTTATTTCTTTTCATGAGAGTAGCCATGACGGTGAGAGCGTATTTCCAAGAGGTTGTCAACATCAGGATACTCATTCGCTAGAGGCAAATCTTGTTGTGAAATGGATGTTGACAATAGGCAGGGACACAACTGAGCGTGCTTAAGTACCAAAATAAGCTTGCAACATGCATGGTAAATATAGTATGAGGGTTTGGTAAAGCTTGTGTATGAACCATAGTTCTGCAAAAAATGATACGAAGTGTTTTGCTTGTAGGAGAAGTATACTCTGTAGAAGTGAACCACATGTTTAGGGCGGCCAGGATCTAGAGTTGGTGGAACCAATGAGTAGAATCAGCAGATGACTTTGTTGGGCTGAGAATAGCCCTAGGATGTTTTCAAAAGGCTAAGTCCTTGTAACAGAGTGCTTGATAGCACAGCGGAAGTCTTGATTTGAAACCTTGTACTGGTATGTGAGAACAAGTGATTGATTATAGCAAAAGGATACAAGGTTTATATATTAATACAAGTGAGTATGAAGGGTCCAACTGTTTTGTGCACTCCAAGGGGTACATTCCCTTTTACGACTTGATAAGAGAGACTCAGGTAACCACCCATACTGTAATACTGGGACGGTTATTTGTCCTTACTATTGCGTTGACTTTTGACTCTTCCGATTCTGACTGTTGGGTTGCACGGTCAATGGTCTACGACCGTTGCGCTTTCGTAACCTCTGCGGGGTATCGTCAAACTGTGGCAACCATTGGTAAAACTGTAGCGGTGTTGACTCGTTGATCCTCATTGTGGTGGTCTTCACGTATTCGTACACTTACACGAGACCCCAAAAATGTCTTAAGTTCTTTTATCATTTCCACCCTCCTACATTTCTGGAGTGTTCATGTGGTTGAGGTTGCTAACGTATTGTAGTCCAGTCAGCAGCATGCAAAACTGGAACTTCAACTTCATCAGCTTCTTGGTCAAGTTGTGAGAGTAAGACCCCGTTATACTTCATTCTTGTTTCCATATTTTTCCTCTACCTTATTCTTCTAATTATCCTCATTCCTTTGATCTTTATCTCATCCCATTTGGTTTCCTATTCCTCCTTTCTCATTATCCTTTTGGTTATCCTATTATTATACTTATATCACCAACCAGGCTCGGGATGTACTGGCGTGCTATGTATAGCGTAATCTCGCTGTAATCCTTTAAAGCCAATAGCCTCGCGTGGCTATACGCAGGGTGATTCTATTTCTAGAAGGGTCTATTCCCTTTGGATAGGATAAGCCTTGTTACCTGATGTACTTCAGAAGTATAGAAGCGCCTTGTATCAATCGATGGTGCAAATTTTCCTCGACACATTCGATCCTGTGATACTTGGTAATCAGAGCTTTTCTCACTCAGACGCGCTCAGCAAAGTAGAAGCAGCGAGAAAACGTGCTTCGAAAAACCGCAGGGGGCGACTAATTCAGCGCCAATTCTGGTAAGCACCAGCTCCGCGTTTTTTAATTAACCCCTCCGCGCATGTTTTGAACAAGATGGCGAACTTCGACAACGCCGAGGTTACCCAGCAGCTCTTCGCAAGCATCGCCGCCCTTCAGGAGGAGATGCGAGCCGATCACGAAGCTTGGCAAAATGAGTTCGAGCGAGTAACTCGACTCGCCGGCGCGTAGCACGACACGACAACGGCGACGACGCAGCAGTCGCAGCAATTTCTCGAGGCTCTGAAACCATGCGCACCTTAGCCGTTCGATCCGAGCAATCAAAATTCCGACTCCCGCAGATGGATCGCCGTCATGGAGATCTGCTTCGCAGCCATCGGATGGAGCTCACCTGTCACAGGGTTGAATGAGGTTTGCTCAATGTTCCACTTTCAATCAGTACAAGGTGCTTTTATACTTCCAGAGTACATTAGGTAACCAGATTTATCCTATCCAAAGGGAATAGACCCTTCTAGAAATAGAATCACCTTGCGTATTTCCACGCGAGGCTATTGGCTTTAAGAGATTACGACAGGATTACGCTAGATACAGCGACGGAAAGTATTGTCCACATGTTTGTGACTTAGAGGAATTTTGCCATTTTAGGGGGTCATGGACATTAAGACTTAATCTTCTGGTGTGCCTAGTGTATGTAGGTTGGGGTAAGGCTCCACGCCCATGCCTTACATCACACAAGTATAATGATGTTTACAACAAATACTAGAAAATAACAATCTTGGTACATGTGGACAATTATTGCCAGGCGCAAGCAGCAAGTTACATCAACCCCAAACTAGTACCTAATCCACCACCCTTTCGCCTTAGACACCGCCCTCACCCTCCTGGGCATGCTTTCCACCAGGTGGGTGCACACATCCGCCGGGATCTTCTCCCATTTCACCTGCACCCGCTCCCAAAGGTCCAGCATACCAGTGGGAGGCTTATAAGGCTTGGCCAGCTGCCTCTTGAGATGAGCCCATAAATGCTCCATTGGGTTGAGGTCGGGTGAGGAAGACGGCCACTCTAGCACCCCTGAATCTTACTCTCAAAGCCACTCCTATACGATACGCGACTTGTGCTTCGGGTCGTTGTCGTGCTGGAAGATAGTTTTTGAGGGTGTAAGCTGGTAAAGCTCAATCGTACTGTTGAGATCATCCTGTAGTATACTCAGCGTGAGCAGTCCGTCCACCCTACCATATGTTTTGCTCATGAAACCCGCTCCCTTTTACGACATGCAGTTGTAAATTATCAAGCAACCGCCCCCGTGTTTGACGGTCTGCTTGATTTGGTGTCTTTGGAGGGCAGTCCCTTCGTGAACGCAGGCGTATGAGAGTCAGTCGGATGCAAGACGACCGATCTTGGTCTCATCTGCACAGATAACTCGCTTCTAGTCGTCAACAGTCCAGTCTGCGTGGGCACGCGCCCATTCCAACCTATCGCGTATGTTTTTCCGAGAGTGTCACGGTTTCTTGGGATGCTTGATTGCGACAAGTCGGCTCCCATTCAAAGCGTTACGCAATGTCTTAGGATGCAACGTGATGCCGTGCTGCTTCTCAACGATTTTCGCCACGTGAGCGGAGATTTCTGCCTCCTCGAGGGTAATCGACCGAACTATGCCGTGGCGAACTCTCTCTGTCACTAAGCAAGGGCGACCGGCTGAGGGCATCGTAGGACGCACGTCATCGCGGCTAGACTCTACAATCGCCTTGATGGGCCGAACTCTTCCCTATGGCTAGCTGTTAGCGATTCAACGATTGCTCTACCCCCTCCGCAACAAGGGAATGATCTATGCGTAGAGCGCCTCATCTAACAGTTTCATGACGGCCTAATCATCGCAGCGGTCCTAGCCTATCTCCTGACTACTCGATAGTCGCGAGGGCAAGTAAGAAGAAATAGCGAGGTTAGGAAATAGATCTACTACGCTGCTTGGCCTAAACTGTCCGGATGCACCCACGCGGACGAAATCTCGTCCTCGGTAAAAAATCGACCCCTATAAAACTGAAACCAGCATCCGTCACATACAGTACAGTACTACTTTACATCCAACCCCGAAATTTGATTCGTAACTAAACAAAGAAGGCACCAAACCAGTACGAGAAATGTTTTAAGGCAATTATCCGCGCAACACTTTCCGTCACTGTATAGCGCGCCAATACATCCCGAGCCTGGTTGGTGATATAATCATAATAACAGGATAAACCAAAGGATAATGGAAAAGGAGGAATGGGAAATCAAATGAGATGAGATAAAGACCAAATGAATCAGGAGTGAAAGAGGAATGAAATAGATAGGAAATATGGTAAGGGGAAAGTGGTGTAACAAGGTCGTACTCTCACATCACCAGTATGGGACGGTCAACGCGTACGACTCGCGGCGACACTGATGCGAGGACCAGCACTCGAGTGCATCGGTGGTAACAGTACCTTCATCCACGGTGAAGCCACGTGGCAGCAGTTCCGTACCAACCTGCTGAAACGCTTCGAGCCGATAAATTCCGGTTTCCTTGCCCAGAAAAACAATCATCGCCATCGCCCGTTCGGGAGAGTAGCGCAGTACACGCAACAGATGGAGGAGTTTTATAACCGCATTCCTGACATGACCGAAGGGGAAAAAGTACGGTCATATCTCGCCGGGCTGAAGACTGAAGTCAAATGACAGGTAGCAGCGACAAATTTTGCGAGCTACAGTGACGTCGTTTCGGCAGCAGAGCGGTTTGACATGGTCAACGCCAGAACACGACGGGCGCACGTTGGCAGTACACGACAGGGAGACCGCTCGGCTCACCCCGCGTTCGCCGACCCGATGGAAATCGACAGGTTCGACAAGGGGTCAAGTCTGAAAATCACCAACTAGATGTGTGATTTTTGCAGGGTGTCGAGCCATGGAATCTTCGACTGCAACAAAATGAAAGCCGCACGAGCAGAGTATCGGGCACGAAACAGTGGCGGAAATTCTTATTCCAATCAGAAGACAAAAAACGGAATTCGCCAGTGATTGCGGATCTAGCTGGCGAAAAAGAAAATATCCGAAAGCGGCCGCGAGATTCCGGGAAAATCAACTTTAACGAAGCTGATTCGACACGAGCAGGAGGAAATGATGGGGAAAAATCTCCACCCCACGACCAGTCTTTGCCAGAGAAAATCGCCGAGAAAAAATCTGACTCTGTGAAAAAGGACTCTGCCGAGAAGACCCAATAAATTATAAGATTCGTTGAAGTTATCTTATAAAGATGCTTTAATGAAAATGTATGCTCTAAACCGTCCCCAATACTCTTGCCTACATCGCAAAAAAGGTGTGCTCGCAAAACGATTGCGTAGCATTCGAGCGAATGCTTTGCAAACGTTTTGCGAACATGTGGGTGAAAATTCATGGCGGACTAAGATGAGAACACTTGGCGAATGCTTGGGCAACATTTCCCGAAACACTTTTTGGTTCACGACAGCGAATGCTTAGCGGTGTTTTTTCGGTGTACTCCGTGGTTCGTTTACAAATGCATGGCGGTGTTTTTAGGAAATGATAT